AGTTCTGAAGGAGAAAGAGGTGCTTTCATGTATCTGTGCATGCAGGCACTTGGGAATCTCTGCATTTTTGTCATTCTACATACATATACTCTGTGTGTGTGTGTGTGTGTGTGTGTGTATTCAGTGGGCTGGCCTGCACCTCTGGGAAATATATACACTTAGTGCAACAAGGCCCACTGCCTGCCCTGTGTTAGGTCTGATTCTCTTTTGTTCATTGAGTGTAACATTTAACTAGCGTGTATATGTATAGCGTTCAACACATTGAGCCCCTATAAACACAATATGTATCACAGTCTTGGGTTTCAAGTAAGACAGCTCTGCGAGTGTGTTGATAGTGTTTTTTCTTTTGCCTGAAATTAACAGTTGCAGTATGAGGGGGAAAAAAGCAAACAAAAAACAGTTTCTCAGAATGCTGATTTCAAAGTTAGAATGAGGAAGGTAAATTGAGAAATATTTTCCATTTTTTTTTTTTTTAAACCACAATGCTCTCCAGAACAAACATTCACTTAGTTTGGCAAGTGTATACCTTTTCTGTAAATGGGCATATGGTGTAGAAAACAACATTATACAATAATGCAATTCTACCAGCTTTATTCCTCCTTATACAAGAGAATAATGCCTTCTCAGGGTTAGCTTGAAGAGTAATACCGGTGTTGTTGTTCTGAACAATATGATTCAAGGATAGACATTTTACAAGTTTTTTTTCTGCCACAGATTTACCAGATCAATGTTCTCCTAACCCGTGTCATAAAGAAGGTACTGTAAAGTGTGAAGATCTGAAAGGTGGATATCTTTGCCACTGCAGAAGAGGTTGGGAAGGCGAGAGATGTGAGAAAGGTAAGTCTCAGTATGCCTGAGCTGCTGGTACTTCTATAATTCTGACTGTTGGATGGAGAAAAATATAGTTTATTTACAAAACATGGATTTTTTTTTCTTTTTTTACATAAAAGGTTTAGTCTCTGGCATCTCCAGATGGAGATTGGCAGAGCTATTCTGTGAAATCTTAAGTAATTGCTGCTAGTCACAATAGAGACAGCAATGAGCAAACAGATCAATGGTCTTATCAAAACAGAATAACAGAAGACTTGACTGAAAGAGATTCTGCATAGCTTATTGCTCCAGTCTACCTAAAAACTTAATGCAGTATAAGATGATGCTTGTGGATAACTGCATAAATAAGTAAATTGAAATGTTGTCAACTGACTTGAAAATTAAGCCAGAGATAATAAAATCTTGCATATACAGTATGTGGAATTTAATGAAATGATACATTTGTACATTGGAAAAGAATGAATGTCTTATTTTACATTCTTCCTGACTTTTGGAAGCTCAAACAATCTTTTTCCACTTCCAGATATTAATGAATGTGCAGATCACAATGGCGGGTGTAAACAGATCTGTTATAACAAGCTAGGCAGCTATCACTGCTCGTGTTATACTGGCTATGTTCTTACGAGTGACAATAAATCATGTGAAGGTAAGATATGAAATGGATAAGAATGATATGAAATCCACCCTTGGCATTACGTAAACAAGCCTGTTTTGAATCTGATATGATCCTTCCGTTGTCCCTTATGCTCCGGTTGTTTTTTCCTGCTTCCTCTTTCTCCTTTTCTGTTTTGATGCCAACCCATAGTTTGCCAGTTCAGACACTGTGACACGTTATGATTGCTGGATCTCTTGGTATGTTCTCTTAACACTTTCTCAGAAGGCTGCTGTGCAAATTCCATAGCGGTGAGTGAAAGCTACATATCGCTGCTGGGAGACTGTTGTTCCATTATGATAAAAGGGTAGATATCTTGGTGAAAGAAAATGATAGTGTCTTGAAGACTAACACATTTATTGTGGATACATTCCAGGTTAAATTTATGAGCAGCTGATAAACGTACTCTAATCCAGGTAAAACTTATAAACCACGTTAACCCTGAGCTATTTGTTATCTTTATTAGCATGAATAACTCTGAATGCTAAGGAGAGCAGTTGCTATTTTTTCTGACTTTCTCACAACTGTGGTTTAAGATTTCAATAGGAAAAGCCAGGAATGCATGCCTAGGCATGTCTGCAGCCATACCACAGAACTATCCAACCCCATAGCAAAAGGGTGATTCACAAAGGATTTGCAGATTATGCCAAAATGCCCCAGCCAACAGGCTCTAAAAAGCAATATTTGGCAAAGTAAAATATAGTTTTTCTTAGTCTTGTTATCTTGTATTGTGTTAGAGCATGACCTAGAATATATGAGAAAAAGTGTGCAGTCACCTGAGAGAGAAAAGTAATCTCTAGAGAGTGCGTATTTCAGAAATGTTCTGGTGACAGGTGGCCAGTAACAATGGATATGTTTCCTGTAATTTAAATTATAGTACTTCAGTCTGTTGAACAGAATAATAATGTTCTGCACACTGGAAGACAAACCCCTGCTTGCCCTGATTCTTTTACAGTAAACAATAAAATGACAATAATGCTGCCTGGAAAAATATTATGGAGGGGAGAGAGAGAAGCTTAAAGGAAGGAAAGAGCTGCACAATAGCGGCAAACACTTCCTAACCTGAAACTGTTGCTGAGAAATCTGGTGACTTCCAAACCACATCCTGCAAAGGCCCCATTTTGCTTGAGGCCCCATTTTGTTTGGGGGCATTAGTCCAGCTTTTGGAGCTTGAGGTAGTTCACAAAACACTTGGTGACAATTTTCTCATTGTTTCACATTTTCTTTCTAAAATAGTCCTCGTTAGGGCTATTTCAGCAAGCTGAGCAGACTCGGCTAGAAGGAAGGATTGTGTCCTTACATTAGAGAAGGTGTCTGCCCTTGGTTCAATGGAATCGTCATTAGTGTCACCTAGTGATAAATACCCCCTTGTGAGACAAGTTATTGAAAGGTTAATGACTCATTCTTGGAGGATACTGATTATCTACATCCATTTCAGTTTTGAGTTCTAACCTAATTATGCAACAGATCTGGCCTTGTTCACTTTGATAGGTAACTCTTATTGATAGAGGAATCTGTTACTAATAGTTGATCTCATAGTAGTTTTTCTCAATCTGCTCCATGGATCAGAAGTTTGGACTTCATTATGCAGTTGTTCTCTTATTTCTGGGCCAGATTTTGGAGCAGGAGTGGACAATCTGAGGAGGCCGCATGCTGCACCCACAATATTTGGTGGAAAATGGCCAATTTTGGGTGATGCGTTTCTTTCCTTTCTCCCACAACAGGGGAAAGGAGAAATGAAAGCTAAATTTGCACATTTAAAACTCCCAAGAGGTTCTGCAAATGTCCCAAGATTGCATCATCAGCATTCAGACAGCCACAGTCTTTAAAGGATGACCTGTTCTCTGTGCTAAGGCTTGCCGATTTGCATGGAGTGATAACATGGAGATGGGCACTTTTGCACAACAGCACATTTTCTACAATTGTGTGGTACAAGCTTCAGTGCTCAGATGTTTTAGTATTTTTGAAAAATGCATTTTTTATGTTGGCCTTCCCCAAGTCTTTTTAAATTTTGCAGTAATATTTGTATACTGTTATAAATTGTTTTGTTTTGTTTTACAGTAAGAAGCAACATGCAAACATTTTAATAATTTTAAAAAAATTAAATTCTCAGAATTTCCAGTTAGCATGGCTGTAGTTCCAATACAGCTGGAAAATGCCTGGATGGGGGAAGGAGCTATAAACATATGTTATGACTCATTTGTGGAAAAGCAGCTTACAGAGGAGATAAAAGCAGACAAGCAGTGGGAGTAGAGAAAGAGTTGGGCATTAGAGATGTGCAGCACTTTGGAAATAGTTTAGAAAAGGTTCTTCACAGCATGTGCATGAACATAGTATCTGCCTGCAGCTCACTAAAGCAGCCAAGTCCTTTACTGTAATCATGCCTAAAATTTGCAGACAGGTGCTATGGTTGCATCCCAATTCACTCTGAATTACCTTTTCTTAATTCCAGCGTGCTAGCCAGGCCTATTAGGTATATCATTGCTTGCAAATCCTGCTGTTTAAATTGTCCCTTCTCAAAATATTTTGTGGGGAGGAGAGGTGAAAAGTTATTTGATTCGCTTGCTTGTGTTGGTGTAACTTATTTATTGATTTGTAAGATTTACATCCTGTCTTTCCTCCAAGAGTACCGGGTGGCATACATAGCGGTCTGCTGTAGTTTTTCCCCACAATAACAGGTTGGGTTGAAAGAGTGCAACTGGCCCCAAATCATCTAATGAGCTTCCATGGCTGAGGGCAGACTAGAATCTGGGTCTTGCTAGCCCTAGTCCAATGCTTTACTCTCTACAACAGTGTCTCTCAACCTCTGCAACTTTAAGCCATGCAGACTTCAACTCCCAGAATTCCCCCATCTAGCATGATGGATGAAATCTACTTAGGCACTCTGATTTGAATTTAGTAAACTTTATTCTCAGAAAGTGGCATTCATGTTAAATCTGATCTATTGTGTACAATTTGAATCTTAGTATTTCTGCTGCCAATCTTCAGTGTTCTGATGTTGTGCCTTCCAAGTACAGACAGTCTCCTACTTGCGAACGTTCATGTTGCGAACTTTCACCGATATGAATAAGATGAACCTGGAAGTCAGAACCGGAAGTCAGGCCAGAAATCAGGAGGTGAGGAAGAGTTAGTTTGCAGCGTGTCACAAACTAACTCTTTCTCACCTTCTCCCACCTTCCGTTTGTATTGGAGGTTTGCATTGGAGTTGGAGTTCCCAGAAAGGGTTAGTTTATGAGCGCTCTGTTGCCGGGTGAGGCCAGAGAGGAAGCGGTGGCAGAGGACAGGGGAGAGGGGGCGGAGGTCTCCTGCCTCACCCAGCAACAGAGCATGCTGCGCCCCACTGGCTTGTCCTTCGCTCCCCTCTCCTCTGCTACCACCCCCTCTCCTGCCTCACCTGGTGACGCGTTGGCAGCAGAAGATAGGGCTCTTCTGCCACAACGCTGCCCTGCCTCCTCCTCTTTTTTTTTTTTTTAACTTTTTACTTGATTGGACTTACGAACAAAACAGACTTATGAACAGCCTCTTGGAACGTAACCTGTTCATAAGTATATCAAGGCAGAACATTTTACATCTTCATTATCATGACTGCATATCAAAGACAGGATCAAATTTCTACATTTTTTACTTCCATTTAATCACGCTGGGAGGCAGCTGTTTTTAGACCCATTGAGTGAGGTGACTCTGAATCACTCTGAGAACTTTCTTGATGGCCTCAGCACTCAAGTGGAAGATTTTATTGGCCTGGATATTCCTATTATGCTTGCAAGGAGTTCTTCTTTTAATCCCTTAATTAGTTAGGCTGAGAACTGCCTAGTCCCAAATCACCTAGTTAGTTCATGACCAAGTAAGAATTAGTCTTCAGATAATTCATCCTGCCCAATTTTATATTCATTACATCACTTTTTTAAAATAATAAATAGGTGAAAATGACAATATTGTGGAATAAAGAAGGAAATGACATACAAAAAAGAAGGAAAGCACATTCCCCCAATGGTGATCCATGTAAAATTGCTGCTTGGAATCCCAGGGGTCTAAATACACATTTGAAAGGTTATAGATCATCCCTTCCCAGTCAGATATCCTCTAGATGGTTGGGATCACCCTTACTGGGAACACACTCAGGATATTTGGGCAGATCCGGCCTGGGAAATACTCCACCATGTTTTTGTTTTTTGTTTTGGTTTTTTGGTCCCTTCCAGTCAGTCTTGACTCCTGGCAACTGCCTGGACTAGTCGCTGCAGTTTTCTTGGCAAGATCTCAGAAGTGGTTTGCCACTGCCGCCTTCTTACTAGAGCTGAGAGAGAGTGACTGGCCCAGGCTCACCCAGCTGGCTTTGTGTCTTAAGGTGGGACTAGAACTCACAGTCTCCAGTTTCTAGTCTGGTGCCTTAACCACTACACCAAACTGGCTCTTTATGCCATATTTACTTACAATTTTAAAAACTGAAGTTTCGGGAGCTTGGCTTATTCTCAGAGGGTAGGGGGTTGTTTTATTATGGCTGTATTTCCTGCAATTGCTCAGCAATCAAAAACACATTTCTCCCAATCCAGTTATACTATTATTGAGAAATATATAAGGAATGCTTATGGTGACATTGGATATAATTTGGTTGGGAGATATGAATTTATGTATTATTATTTTATTATTATTATTTATTTGACGTGTCCCCACCCATCTCCCCACAACGGGGGACTCTGGGCGGCTTACAACAAT